AGGAGCTCCTTTTGTTTATCTATTTTCTCACCAGAGAATGTAATATTGAATCCTTCATATGATATTGAAAAATCTGAAATGAAGCGTAGCTGAGCCCTGAAATTTCCGTAGAGACCAGCATTGATTGTTGAAGGGAGTTCTGAACCAGTCAGGCGTGCCAGTGGTTGGGTAAAACTACCGTTCTCTGTGATCAGCAAGTAGTCATGATGGTCTTCCAAATGAAAGGTATGGAAGTTGAACTGCACACCTGTTAAGAAAAATAGGAAAATTGGACTTATAACGTACATTGATAAAACACAGAAAGTTACTGTCAAACTAACTAAAGCCAGGAGTCCCCTTATAATTGATTTTTCTGAAAATTAAATGCACTGCTATAAAATATTCCACATACGTAGTATATTATCCATATTTCATTTTTGTTTTCTCTTCAGCTTCATTATAAGAGATATATTGAGTCATATCTTTGAAACTGTTTGAAAAATAAAATTTAAAAATCAATGTCGGAAAAGGAATCTCCTGGTTTTCTGAAAATTTCAAGGAAAATACGTATCCCTGGTTTTTAATAGAGGTGCAACTTCCTGGTGAATATTGTACATGTCTGATCCATTTCCTCCTCCAGTTCCCTCAACATACATAAAAATAATACTTAATATTATAGCACTTAACTGCCAAAAAATGCTTAAGTCTATTTTAGAAGAGACATATAAAACAGGCATAGGGGAGTGCTATTTGTTAAATGAATGTAATGATTCTTCATTTATTTATTTTTCACACATTTCAATCTGTGCATATAATATACTGAAAAATGCATATTAAAGTGTTCAGCTCATTGAATTTTCACAAACCGAACATCTTTGCAAACAGTATCTAAACCAATAGGCACAACATTATCAACACCCAGATCCCTCTTCATGAAACTTTTCTGTCACTTCACTTTGCCAAAAGTAACCACTCACTCACTTCCAATAGAATAGACAAGTTTTGCTACTTTATATAAAGGATTTGTAGTTCATATAATAGAATCATATTACATACTCTTTTGGATCTGATTTTTTACTCACCACTAGGTATGTGAGATTCATCTATATCATTGTGTATGGTTTTTGTTTATTTTCAATGATAGATAGTATATCATTCCATTTTGTGAATATACCACATCCATTTACCCATTTAATTGTTGATGATAATTCAGGTAGTTTTCCTTATATCACAAATGTAAATAGTGCTGTTATCTACAAGTGCTGCTATGAACATTTGAATTTGTCTTTTGATGAACACATGTGCTTATTCTTCTTTTAATATTTTTCTTTTTATTGGGCATGTGTTTTGAGACACATGCTTATTTTTGTTGGATAATGATCTAGGAGCAGAATTACTGGGTCATGGTGTAATAATATGTATTCTGCATTAACAAATACTATTTTAGGCCGGGTGTGGTGGCTCACGCCTGTAATCCTAGCACTCTGGGAGGCCGAGGCGGGCG